AGTCCGGGCAGCGATGGCGACCGCGCGCGCGCGCAGTGGCCGCGGTGTGCTCGAATCGATCTGTGATGCGCATCTCGACCTTGGCGGTCGCGTTCTTGCGTCCGATCTGGTCCATGGGTCCGTTCGACCTGCCTGGAGGCCCCAACACTAACGTGAGCAGCCCCTTGGCCAACCAGGTACACTCGATGACGCTGTGCGCCATGCAAGTCGTTCGAGGCCGCCGCGCGAATGGCTCCGGTCACGGCGCGGTCCACGGCGCGGCGCTGTGTTCGCCGACATACTAGAGCGTGGTACTCGCCGCTCGGCTGCGCGTGGTGCCACCCTGGGGCTGCCACAGAGGCGCTCGAAGCTGTGCCGCCACTGGGAATCGCCGCTCCGGCGCCCAAGCGTTCGTCGACACAGCCAATTCCCGCGAGCAGAGCACCTCCGGAGTCACCCATGGGTACGAGGTGTCCACCGCCGCCACCCTGACTCCAGGCGTCGCGCTCCATGGCCACGCGCGACGAGCCGGGCTGCCCCTCGAGGCGCTCCGGGGCTGCTGGATGCCGGCGGATTCGAATCCGACCAATGAAATGCTTGCATTATATCGATTTTGTCGATTTTCGACGCCTCCGAGCGCTCCGACCGCGTCGCCAGACGTCCCCACAAGTCCATTTACGCGCTCAGGGCGCTCACATCAGCCTATGCAGTGATTTGGCGACGTTCCTGGGCCTGCTGGGCCGAGTTTGAGGCCGGTGTCACCCCCCGTGAGAGCCGCATGCACAGTCCTGAGCGCACACGGCCTTGTAGGCCCCTTAGCCGAAGCACGCGGCGTCCGCGCACGCGTCGTCGTCGAAGAAGAGGCGCGGCTCCTCGAAGAACATGGCGGGCCCGGGCTCCTCGAAGGCGCCCGCGTCGCAGTCGAAGGCGCCCGCGTCGACGACGGCGACGGCGCGCGGGAACGCGCCCCAGCCGAGGCCCGCGCGGTGCCCCGGCTCCGCGAGCCAGGCGCCGGTCGGCGGCGCTCCGCGCGGGTGCTGCGCGGCGACGTGGTGGTCGCCCGCGCGCGGCAGGTCCCGGACGACGCGGAGCCGCTGGACGGCCGCGGGCGGGCCCGGGAGGTCGCCGCGGGCGAAGGCGCGCGCCGCCGCGTCGCAGTCGCGGCGGCCGTCGCCCGGCCCGTCGCCGCCCGCGCCGAGCGCCTCGTAGGCGCGGAGCACGTCGCCGCGCCGCGACGCGCCCGGCGCGACGCCGACGGCGCCGGCCCACGCGGCGACGTCGCCGTCGGGCACGCGGCGCCCGTCGAGGAAGGCCTCGTAGGGCGCGCCGGCCGCGTCGTCGCCGTACGCGACGCGGACGAGGCGCGCGTCGACGCAGGCGTCGTCGCGCGCGAAGGGGAACATGGCGTAGCGCACGGACAAGCCCGCGGCGAGCGCCGCGCGGCGGAAGGGCGTGTCCGTCGTGACATGCGCGATGTTCCCGTACAGCGACGGCAGGCCGACGAGGAGCGCGTAGGCCCAGAGGAGCCGCGCGAGGCGCGAGCCCGGCGCCGCGCGCCGCGCGGCCAGCGGCTCGCGCGCGGCGAGCCGC